GGCTGGCCTCAAACTCACTGAGATCCGCCTGCTTCTGCCTCCTGAGTAATGGATTAAAGGTGTACGCCACCACTGCCCAGCTTATTTTGTTTGGTTTTTGAGGGAAGGTCTTGCTATATAGCCTTGGCTGGTCTGGAACTCACAGAAAGGCCTCTGCCACTGCTTCAAGAGTTCAAGATTATTGTTGGAATTAAAGGCATGCACCACCATTCCCTGCCACACCTATCATTTGACACAGCAACTCCACTCCACCAAGTTCACCCAAGTAAAATGAAAATGCATGACCAAGAAAGACATAGAAAATAGTCATGACAACTAACTCCAAACTGAAAATTGCTCAGGTGACCATCAAGAAGGCACAGATAGGACTGGAGAGATGGCTCATCGGTTAAGAGCACTGTCTGCTTTTCCAGAGGACCTGAAGGGGTTGGGGATTTAACTCAGTGGTAGAGTGCTTGCCTAGCAAGCGCAAGGCCCTGGGTTCTGTCCTCAGCCCTGGAAAAAAAAAAAAAAAAAAAAAAAAAAAGAAAAACCAGAGGACCTGGATTTGGTTCCCAGCACTCACATGGTGACTCACAACCATCTGTAACTCTAGTCCCAGAGGGTACATTGACCTCTTGGCCTCTGTGGGGCACAGGCATACATGTAGGTAAAACACCCATAAAATAATTTTTAAAACAGATAAATAAACTGATGTGTGTTTTGGCGGGACTTAGATAAATTTAAGGATAAAGAACTCCCAGTGGGGTTTGGGGATTTAGCTCAGTGGTAGAGCGTTTGCCTAGCCCTGGGTTCGGTCCTCAGCTCTGTAAAAAAAAAAAAAAAAAAAAAAAAAGAGCTCCCAGTGATTTTGATTTTTATAGATCTTATCTCTTTTCCCCTTACTGTGTGTATATAGTGTATGCATGTGTGCATGCTGTGTATGTCTATGGAGGCCAGGCCAATTTAGTCCTCTTCCTCTGCGCTCCCACCCCCAGACAGGGTTTCTCTGTGTAGCTTTGTGCCTTTCCTGGAACTCACTCTGTAGACCAGGCTGGCCTCGAACTCACAGAGATCCGCCTGCCTCTGCCTCCCGAGTGCTGGGATTTAAGGCATGCACCACCACCGCCCGGCTGGCACTGTCTATCTTGTTCTCACTGATCCTGGAGCTCACTGACTGGCTAGGCTGGCCGAGGATCTTCCTGTCTCTAAGCACTGGGATTCCAGGTGCACGCCACCAAACCTGGCTTTTTACAAGGGTACTGGGTCTTCATGCTCGTACAACAAAAACTTTACGCACAGAGCCATCTTCCCAGCTTTCCTGAAGGGCTCTAAAAGATGCGGCTGAGCAGGCTGTATTTTCATTTTATAGACAGAAACCATGACAGAGAAATTATATAAACAATTTTAACCAAGGGAAATTGACAGCACCCACACACTTTTAAGAACTTACTATGCCAATTTTATAACCATTTTCTTATTTAACCCTCATAGAAATTTTATTTTGTTCAAGAGGAAACTGAGGCACATAGAAAACAAATAGCTTGGCCTAAGTGCCACAGCCCAGGTGCTTAGCTCTGTCTTCTAGTCTTACAACTGAAGTTTGCTTAGGTGATGAGTCTATATATATATATATATATATATTTTTTTTTTTTTTTTTTTTTTTTTTTTTCCTGCCAAGACACACAGGACAGATGTTCAGTCCTGGAAATAAGCAAAGTTACGTGTGATCCCAACCAGCTACTCTGCTGTTTGCTTTCTCTAGAGAACACTGCAATGCAAGTTAAAGCATCACCCCTCACAGAATAACCTTCAGTCTCTTTTCATTTGCATCTTACAGAAAGACAGTCATTTTCAAATGTGGCATTTCAGGTAGGAACAAATTCCTGTTTAGCAGTGAGACTGAGAATCTTTACACTAGCCTCGGCCACCAGAGATCCAGCCTTGTACAGCACGTCATGGCCAAGTATGGGGGTCATCTGACTGGAATGACGGGTGTGATACGTACCCCCGCCCCAAATATTCTGCAGTGTTTTGACTTTTGCTAAGCTGAAAGTACTGGGGGTCACCATAGCATCTTTGTAGCCTCATACTTTGTTCTCAATCATTCCCTCCTCCATCATCCCCCCCACCCCCGTTCCCTTTCTGCTTTCCTTTTACATGTGATCCATTGCCACCTCATGTCTCCCTTAGGATCACTTTCTCCCTCTCATAATCCCTGTCCTAATTTCCTGAGTTGCACACATACCTACAGATAGTCAGCTACGATTTGAGCGGTTTCACATTGCTCTCTACACTTGGTTCTGAGGATCTCTTTCAAATATGACAGTTATCAAATGTTTCCAGCATATGGGGCTAAACAGAGAGAGACGGCTCAGTGGTTAAGAGCACTTGTTGCTTTTGCAGAAGACCCAGGCTCATGACTGGCAGTGGTGGTGCACGCCTTTAATCCCAACACTCGAGAGGCAGAGATAGGTGGATCTCTGAGTTTGAGGCCAGCCTATTCCAAAGAATGAGTTCCAGGACTACACAGAGAAACCCTGTCTCAAAAAAACCAAACCAAACCAAACCAAACCAACCAACCAACCAAAGACCCAGGCTCAATTCCCATCACCTACATGGTGGCTCACAAATGTCTGTAACTCCAGTTCCAGGCGAATCTGATGCCCTCTTCTGACTTCTATGGACAGTAAGTATTTATGTGGTGCACAGACATAACATACATAAAATAAATCTTTAAAAATATTTGCAGCTTATGACTGAGTTTTAAGTAAAGTCAAGGTGATGGTTTTTTTTTTTTTTTAAAAAGATTTATTTATTTAGTATGTATACAGTGTTCTGCCTGCATATATGGCTGCAGGCCAGAAGAGGGCACCAGATCTCATTACAGATGGTTGTGAGCCACCAGTGGTTGCTGGGAATTGAACTCAGGACCTTTGGAAGAGCAAGCAGTGCTCTTAACCTCTGAGCCATCTCTCCAGCCCTTATTTATTTATTTATTTATTTTTTGGTTTTCTGAGACAGGGTTTCTCTATGTAGCTTTGGTGCCTGTCCTGGATCTCACTCTGTAGACCAGGTTAGCCTCGAACTCACAGAGATCCGCCTGCCTCTGCCTCCCGAGTGCTGGGATTAAAGTCGTGCGCCAAAGGTGATGGGTTTTTTAACAGATATCTTAGTAGATGATAAAGGTAGCACAACTCTGAGCCATATAGTCAAATCATAATCACCTTCATCCTTCCTTCTTTCCCTATCCCCGCAACCCCTGTTCTCCAGAAACTGTATATGTTTCAGTCTTCTAGCTGTATCAGCAACGCCATAGGCACCTATTCTAGAAGGGATTTATAATGGAAGGGCTTAGCATTTCTGCCCTCCTTGGCCTGAGGTTTTGTGTGTGTGTGTGTGTGTGTGTGTGTGTGTGTGTGTGTGTGTGTGTGTGACCAATAGATGAATAGAAGGCTTTTTGCCCCTTTATGATTTTTCTGAAACTGGTTTACTCAGTTATTTTATAACCTAGACTAATCTGGAACTCACTATGTAGCCCAACTTGGCCTTAAATTCACAGTGATCCTCCTTCCTCAGCTTCCTAAGCACTGGGATTTTAGGTGAGAGCTACCACACTGTTCACTTGTGGCATTTTATGCTACAATTTCCTGGGATGAAAACATGGCTCAAGGTTAAGAGCACCTGATGTTCTTGCAAAGGACCTGAGTTTGGCTCTCAGCACTCACGCTAGGCAGCTTACTACTGCGTGTAACTCCAGTTTTGACCTCTGCAAGCACCCACACATGTAGCATACACTCACATAAACATACACATGAATAAAAAAAATTTATAGACTTTAAAATAAGCTATAGTTTCTTGAGATACTACATAAAACACTTCAAGCACAAGGTGGTTTTTTTTTTGGTTTTTTTTTGGGGGGGGGTTGTTGTTTGTTTTTCGAGACAGGGTTTCTCTGTGTAGTTTTGGTGCCTGTCCTGGAACTCACTCTATAGACCAGGCTGGCCTCGAACTCACAGAGATCCACCTGCTTCTGCCTCCCAAGTGCTGGGATTAAAGGCGTGCGCCACCATGCCCGGCCCCAAGGTTTTAATGAAGTTAAAGCCTTACATGTTCAAGAAGGTCATTCTTAGCTAGTCTGCAACTCACTATGCAGACCAGTTGGGTCTTGAATTCAGAGATTTGTCTGCTTCTTCCTCCCTAGTGCTGGAATTTAAGGTATGTGCTACTATACCTGACAAGAAAAGCCTGGATTCAGTTTTTTACTGTGTTTCATGTTCTATCCTACTCTGCTCAGGCACAGGAGTGCATTCAGATCAAAGACAGTAAGAATGAAAGCATATTAGGCCTGTCTTTAGGTTTTTGGACAAGTTGTTTTTTGTTTTTTAAATAAGTCACCACCACTGCCAAACCCCTGGCCTAACAGAGTCTAATAGTACTTTTTCACAAAGTCAATGAAACTAAAGTCAATATAAAACACAAATTGTTATAGAATAAGAAGGAAAAATTATAAATTATTCATTCCATTGCTTACATTTTATAGAAGACAGGGGTGTCCATGAAGCCAACTTGTCAGAGACACACTGCCAATTGATGTCCCAGATCTACAATGTGGCCTCTGAACTATAACATTACTCACAATTAAGAAATTTCCTCATAGATGGGCAGTGGTGGCTCACACCTCTAATCCCAGCACTCAGGAGTCAAAGGCAGGTGGATCTCTGTGAGTTCAAAGCCTGTCTGGTCTACAGAGTGAGTTCCAGGACAGCTGGGATTGTTACACAGAGAAATCCTGTCTCAAAAAAACGGAAAAAAAAAAAAAAAAAAAAAGAAAGAAAGAAAGATCCTTATAAAAAGACAGTGGGTTTGAGGCTGTCCAGGGCCCCCAAAATAAAGATGGATCTTTGATCTCAGAATATCATTTTTCTTCTCAATAATCTACTCGACAGGAGTCACTGATACTGTGGTATGTCCTTGAGGTTGTAATGCTGAGTGTGATGCTCTCAACAGTCACGGCTCACCTGTTCTCCAGATCTGGCATGCTTAGGTTTCTAGCAGCAAAGCACATTTTGAGAGGGATGACCTTCCTGTCCTTGGTGCTATTCTGATGCTTTGGAGAACCAGAGTCTTCACTTCCACTAAAGTTTGGTGACTGGGGAGCAGCCCCTTCCCATGGCAGATCTGATACTAAAGATGGCTTCTTGATATACGGTGTTACTTCTCGGATGAACTTGACTATAAAAAAAACAACAAAAACAAAAGGTTACTATTTTTTTGTTTCTGATCAAATGAAAACCGGAACATCCGTATACATGCACCATCTAGAATGAAGTGAGGAGCAGAACCCAGTGCTATCCATGTCCATGTCCTTGAGCTTTACTCCACATCTCCTGAGCTCGCACTGAGGGCTCACCTTAATGCTTCTACCCACCGAAATACACACAACAATCTTAATCTCTTGCATAAGAGAACCTTTCAAACGGCAGAAAAATATTTCTCTTTCTTCCCTATGCTAAGGCAAGTACTTCAGCTCAATTGATACAAGGCAAATAAGGCTTAGTCCCTGCCCTAAAAGAATGCTTCACCTGGATGGGGTAGAGGAAGCTACATAAACATTATCACTGTGCTTAAAAAAAAAAAAATGTGTGGGTTGGGGATTTAGCTCAGTGGTAGAGCGCTTGCCTAGCAAGCGCAAGGCCCTGGGTTCGGTCCTCAGCTCCAGAAAAAAAAAAAAATGTGTCAAAGTATATACCAGCACAAAGGAAACCCCTTGCCTTTTTACAATAGTCCATTACCTGGGGCTGGAGAGATGGCTCAGAGGTTAAGAGCACTGACTGCTCTTCCAGAGGTCCTGAGTTCAATTCCCAGCAACCACGTGGTGGCTCACAACCATCTGTAACGAGATCTGGTGCCCTCTTCTGGCATGCAGGCACACATGCTGTATACAATAGTCCATTACCATTAAATCCTATTTTGAATATATAATATAGGTTGAGTATCCCTTATCTGATATGCTTGCCAGCAGAAGCCTTACAAATTTTGATGTATTTGTATATACATGGAGATAAAAATATTCATATACACATGGGAGGATGAACAAGAAATCCATTTTCATAAACAGTATACATATGCTTGAAGGCAACTTAGGCAAGAGCATCTTCATTTGTACTGCCGTATTAGGTCAGGTATGGAATTTTCCACTTATGTCATGGTTGTGTTCGAAAAGCTTCAGGTTTTAGGTTTTTGAATGAGGTATAATTGCTATACATTCACATAAAACAAAACCCAGAAGTACTAGATTTCATAATAATGATAGATTTCCATCTCTAAAGGTAACTATTGTGTGAGCATGTAGAGGTGCTACACATGCTAAGTGTAATATAAGAACTGACACATTTATATGTCTGTCTATCCGCCAATTTCACACAATGGTAGTATATTATGCTTACTATTTACTACTTGTATTTTTATTTAGTAATGTTGACAGCAGTCAGTTGGTCATTATCCCCCGCCCCCCTCCATGCCACCCAATGATGGTGTTTTATGAACACCCAACAGTTCTACAATACAGTGGAGACACCTTTGGGAAGGGACTTGCCTGGTTCAATTCTCACTGCTTCAAAGCTCTATGGTTTTACCTGCTGCTTCTAAGGTTCTCCCCTAAAAAGCAAGAGTGATTCCGAACAAGTGCAAGCTCTGGGCACACAGTGAATAGTCAATATACAGCAGGTGCCTTTCTTTTGCCTTCCTTAGAAAGCTGGAGAAATTAAATAAAATTAACCCTAATCAGTAGAAGCCATTGTCTTATGTTATTAAATTAATCTAAGCACTTGGGAAGCAGAGACAGGTGGATCTCTGTGAGTTCATGGCCAGCTCGTTCTAGCTAGAGAGTTTCAGGCCAGCTAAGGCTACAAAGTTAGACCCTGTCTCAAATGAACAAATGAAACAGACAAACAAAAAACACCACACCAATATCTGCTGAAATCAAGCATAATACTCGGAAACATAATTCTCACATTGCCATTTAGATATGTACAGACACTTGTATATGTGGGTATATTTTTCCTGTATGTTTTTATAAATGCATTTTTGGGTGGAGAGAGCAAAAGCTTGCTGCCTTGGGTCACCAAGGAGATTTTTCATCCTAGAAGAATGAGCAGGAGTGTAGCCAATATATCCCTTAAGCAGCTGACTCAGGCATTTCAATACACACGAGCTTTGTGCTTTCAGGAGAGGATTAGATCACGAGAACTTGGCAGAAATTCCCAAGGTTTTCAATCAATGCCAATGGCAGAGGCCTGCTTTGGAACACTTGCTGCACCATGCCAGCTACTAGCTTACCAACTGGGGGAAACAAAGCCATTCTAATGAGTACCCCTGAAAAGTACAATGATCAGAAGAGTCCTTAACGATCTACTCAGAATTAGCATCTCTAATATGATTACTACAAACACGCTAAAACCAAAGCAAAGCAGACACACACCCAACCTAAGGGCCACTGTATTAAAAGAGCAATGAACATGGGCTCAGGACAGCCAGGCTGGCACACTGCTTTCCTAGCACATACAGAGCCCCTGGTTTGATGTTCAGCACCTCACAAACCAAACATGGTGGTTTGTGAGTGGGAGGAGGAGGATTAAAAGTTCGAGGTCATTCTGGGCTGCATACCAATTTTAAGGCTTGCCTGTGCTACATGAAACCTTCATTCAAAAAAATGAAAAAAAGAAGTGTTAAATTTCACCTGAGATTATGGTGTCACTGCCTGTACATCCAGCTAATTAGCTATCCATAATGTTTAATGCCTGTAAATTGATATTTTTGTCTTATGCTAATACCTTCCCAGCTGTCACAGAACCAACCTGGACAACCTGAAAAGAAACACCTTAAAACCAACCCACTAGCTTTCAGCTCACATTTTCCCCCTCATAGTTAAAGATCATCCTCAAAATAGTTCCAGCACTGGGGAGGCAGAGGCAGAGGCAGAGGCAGGTGGATCTCTGAGATTGAGGCTAGCCTAGTCTACAGAACAAGTCTCAGACAGCCAGGGCTACACAGAGAAACACTGGGGTGCGGGGAAGGGGGAGAATCGTCCTCAAAATAACCACACACTGATGTTTGTCAACTGCTCTAAGCACTCAGAGGCTAGAGCTAATTTTCTGTCTTACCTGCACTGATCACGCTTAGTAAGATGAAGGGGAGGGCTTAGTAGAGTTCTTGCCTAGGACTTGAGGCTTTACGTTTTTTCCAGACAGGGTTTCTCTGTATAGCCCTGGCTGTCCTAGGACTAGCTCTGTAGACTGTATGGGCCTCTAATTCACAGAGATCTGCCTGCTTCTGCCTCCCTAGTGCTGGGATTAAAGGCATGTGCCACAACTGCCCAGCCCCTTTTCCTTTTTCAAATGACAAAAATATGGCCGGTATGAAATGGTTCAGCTGGTAAAGGTGCTTGTTGCCAAGCCTGAGGACCTTAGTCCCAGGGTGGATGGAGAGAAAGGACTCTAGTAAGTTGTCCTCTGATCCCTGCATGCACACACACAAAGTAAATAATTGTAATTAACAAACTATCTGTCTTATACATGTACCTATAAATATATTGAAAAAGATTTTTACCAAATATTACAATGCTTCTTTATATGCTGATTTTTTTTTTTTTTTTTTTTTTTTTTTTTGGTTTTTCGAGACAGGGTTTCTCTGTGTAGCTTTGCGCCTTTCCTGGAACTCGCTTTGGAGACCAGGCTGGCCTCGAACTCACAGAGATCCGCCTGGCTCTGCCTCCCGAGTGCTGGGATTAAAGGCGTGCGCCACCACCGCCCGGCTATATGCTGATTTTAAATATATAATTCTGTGTGTTTTAAATGTAATACCTTTATTATGTATATTTTAAAATAAGGTCATCAACTTGACTAAATAGTAAGTTAAGACTGTCTCAAAAAGCGAAGGAGAAGGGAAAGGAGGAGGAGGAAGGGAAGGAGAAAAGAATGTTTAATATAGCTTTAAATTTTTTTTATTTTATTTATTCATGTGCCTACTTGTCTGTATGTGTACCACTTGCATGCAATACCCACAGAGACCAGAGGAGGGCCTCAGATCCCCTAGAACTGGAGTTACATATGGCTGTGAGCCAATGAAGTAGATGCTGGGAACTAAACTCAGGTTCTTGCAAGAGCAGCCAGTGCTCTTAACCACTAAGCCACTCTCCAGCCCCCTTTCTTCCCTATAAGATAATAAAAAATGCTTAAGGGAAAAAAAGATTAAAAAAAAAACAAAACTTCCCAATTTTACTATAGCTTTTAAACTTTCTAGTGTTACATTTTCCACATTACATCAACTCTTAAGTATTATTTAAGACTCACCGCCGGGGGTGGGGTGGGGTGGTGCACAACTTTAATCCCAGCACTTGAGAGGCAGAGGCAGGCATATCTCTGTGAGTTCAAGGCCAGCCTGGTCCACAAAGCAAGTTCCAGGACAGGTTCCAAAGCTACACAGAGAAACCTTGTCTCAAAAAACAAACAAACAAACAAATAAATCACCATATTGCCGGGCAGTAGTGGCACAAGCCTTTAATCCCAGCACTCGGGAGGCAGAGGCAGGCAGATCTCAGTAAATTCGAGACCAGTCTGGGCTACAGAGTGAGTTCCAGGAAAGGAGCAAGGCTACACAGAGAAACCCTGTCTGGTGTGTGTGTGTGTGTGTGTGTCGGGGGGATCACCATATCACATTCCATTGTATGCTTATCGTAATTTACTAGGCTATTCCCTAATTATTGGGTATTTAGTTTTAATGCAATGAACATATTTTTCAGGAAGAAATTAACTACTGGGTCAAAGAAATATTCAAGACTCCTGATAAACATGGATAAACTGTTTCACCAAGACAGACTTTAGTAGCATGTCCAGGTCCAATAAGGTAATATGTGATAGTTAATCATGATTGTCAACTTGATTGGCTCTGGAGTCAAGTAAAAGGCATGCCTGAGTGGGTATGTGAGGGTATTTTTCCAGAAGGACTGGCTGAGAGGAGATCCTGTCTATGCCCAGATTATGAGGTATGAGGGAAAGCTGTTTGCTTTTCACCTATTAACCTTTGATCCTTGCTGGTGCATGTACCTACTTTGTTACTGCCTCTGTAGTCATCTTTTACTGACAATGAAACCCAGCTTCTTCAGCCTTCCATGCGGACTGAAGACTTATGATTCTCCAGGAATCCTCCAGGCCTTAAGTGCCAGATTGGGACTGCTGAGGAACCTAGCCTCATGGACTGATCAGCTACTGGGTTCTCAGCTTCTCCAGCAGTAGACAAACCACCGCTGGACTATCCAGTCCATATCAATGTAAGCCAATCTGATAAATCTCCTTTGTAATATATACTCATTCTAACAGTTCTGGTTTAGTTCCGTTTCTCTAGAGAACCCTAACTAATGCACAGTATCATATAAAAAAAATCTTGACCCTGGCAGTGGTGGTGGTGCACGCCTTTAATCCTAGCACTTGGGAGGCAGAGGCAGGCAGACCTCTGTGAGTTCGAGGCCAGCCTGTTCTACAGAGTGAGTTCTAGGACTGCCAAAGCTACAGAGAAACACTGTCTCAAAAAACCAAAAAAAAAAAAAAAAAAAAGAACCATTTCATTAATCTTATCAAATGTGATCATTTATAGGGCTATATGGAGTTTAGATGCAGTGGTGAATCTTTCTCCTTTCTTAGAATAATCTCCTGGAAGCAGAGGAGGATTTGCCATGCACAGAGATAAATATAATCTCTGGATAAGCGCTCTTACTGATGCTGATATTAACACAAATGGGCTGTCACTTCCAAGGACAAACCTGAACACATCCAGAGCTATGCCAGAGCTGGGCATGGTGGTACATGCCTGCAGTCCTAACACTTGGGAAACTGAGACAGGAAGATGGAGAATTCAAGACCAGGCTTTATTTACATTGTGAATTTGAGGTAACCCTCAGTTACTTGGTGAGACCCATCTCAAAATAACCAAATAGGGACTGTAGAAATGGCTCAGCTAACAAGAGTGTGCTTCCACAGATTGTCCTCTGACTTCCAGAGAGAGATGCTGCGGCATGTACATATATGTAAGTATATAGACAGATGAATAAATAAGTTAAAAAATGTCATTGCCTATTCATTATTCTGACATCTCAAATTTACCCTGGCTCTCTAATAATGAGGTGAAGGGAGCTGGAAAGAAGTGGTGGATGCTGTGACTCCACTGCTCTGAAGGTGGAAGCAGGGAGATTGCAAGTGAAAAGCCAGACAGAAATGCCATAGGGAAACTGGTTCAAAGAAATGGAAACATCCAGGCATGCTGGTGCAGCCCTAATCCCAGCACTCAGGTGGAGGACCAAGGTTTGGTTCGAAGAACCCACATGGCAGCTCACAACTGTTTGGAATTCCAGTTCTAAGGAGTCTGGTGCCCTCTTGTGAGTTCTGTGGGTACTCAGACACACACATAGTACACAGATAGACATGCAGGTAAACATGCATCTAAAGTGGAAAAAGTGATGTTCCGTTCTTTCTGTTTTTTAAAAATAAGTTTTTAGCTGGGTGGTGGTGAATGCCTTTAATCCCAGCACTCGGGAGGTAGAGGCCAACCTGGTCTACAAAGCGAGTTCTAGCACAGACTCCAAAGCTACACAGAGAAACCCTGTCTCGAGAAACCAAAAAGGTTTTAAAGATTTTATTTATTTATTTATTTGTGTATATGTGTTTGTGTGTGTGGCTGCAGAGGCCAGAAGAGGTTGTCCATACCTTGAAGCTGGAGTTACAGGGAGTTGTAAGTCACCTTCTACGGGAACTCAGTTTAGGTCCTCTGGAAGAGCATCAAGTCACTTAAGTTCTGATCCCTGGCCCCTTCCTTTCTTTGGGCAGGGTTTCATATATGCCAGGCTGACATCCAACTTTATATATAGCTGAGCACGACCTTGAACTTCTGATCCTCCTTCCTCGACTTCTGGGACTAAAGTTCTATACCACTCCACACAGCTTTAAAAATGTATGTGTGTCTATCACACGTGTATAGACCAGAAGAGGGTGTAAGATCCACTGGAGCTGGAATTAAAGGCAGTTGTGCTCCCAACATGGGTACCAGGAACTGAATTCAGGACGTCTGGAAGAGCAGTTCACACTTTTAGCTGCTGAGCAATCTTCCCAAGTCCAGAGCAAACATTCTGAAAGATTTGACGACTGTTGCTGATCTGCTGTCTGTGTGTTTATATGTGAAGGGTTAGTATAGACCGAAGCTAACACTGAGTTTCTAATTTGGGCAACTGGTGATACCACCACCTGTGCCAAGAAATTTAAACACTGAAGGTTGGAGAAAAGAGTTGAGTTTGGACATGGTGTAAGTTAGTGCACTTGGCTACAAGCAAAAGAAGACACAACCAAGAATGGCGTAAGCATCAAAGAATGTTTTAACAGGTCTGAAGTTGGTTCCTAAAGGACTGAAGAAACACCTCATGATGTCATGTTTGTTGTGTGTTTATTTATATTACAGTTGCAGAGCCTGACACAGCTAAAGCTGCCCTGAGACGTCAGTTCAAGGAAGAATGAGAGAGAGAGAGTTGCTGGTCGGATCTGTTCTCTGTATCAAGAGAAGTTTTCCCAGCTGAGTATGGTGACTCATACCTATAATCCATCATTTGGGAGATGGAGGCAGGAGGATCACCTCAAATTCAAGGTCAGCTTTGTCTGTATAGTGAGAGGCCAGGTTGGGTTACAGCATAAGACCGTCTCAAACAAAGGAAGGAAAGGAAGGAGTGATGGCTTTCTTAAATGCAGCGTATTTCAGGATGAAATTTCTCTAATTGGCCAACAGTGAGCTTGCAGCAAAGATTGGAGAAGTATGTGATTAATTTTGGTACAAAGAGCTGAGGATTGGAAATAGATGCTAGGTTACACAGTCAAGTATCTGTGATGAACTCAAATTTTTAGTATCTGTAAAACTTTAGATAAGGCCAGGCTGTGCTAAAGGCAACACATCTTTAATCTCAGAACTCAGAGGCAGGTGGATCTCTGTGAGTTTGAGGCCAGCCTGGTCTACAGAGCAAGTTCCAAGACAGAAAAGCCTACACAAAGAAACACTGTGGGGGTTGGGGAGCGGGGAATGAATCTCAGATAAGAATGAGAAACTCTTCATTATTTAGCCTTGGGTTCCAAACAGAACTATAGTTGGTTGATAGTATGAAAACTTAATTGGCTTAATGAAAATTAGATTAGTACCTGGAAGGGCCATCATGAAGGAGCTGGGGTGGAAGAATGTGTGTGTTTAGTGTCTAGCTTTCTGCAGATGTCAAATCAAAGAGTATTCGTTTATACCTCTGGAATTATAAGGTCTCCCCAAAGGCTGAATGAGTAATGATACTGCAGTGTGTGATGATTTATATTTAGCTGAGACTCTTAATAGCATGTAATAGCAATATAACAGTCATTACACAGATGATTACAATACAAGCCTAAAGATTAAGTAATTTGTTTACGGTTGGGTCGTGAGTCAGTAATAAGCCAGGTCAGAGTGGGGAGGACTCAGATCTCTGAGGCAGTGATGTGTATGTTCCAGGTATATTAGGAAGAGCCCTCTCATTTGGTTCTTTTTTCTAGTATTTAATGGTTTGTACCAACCAGCTGGGTGTGGTGGTGCATGTCTTTAATCCCAGTTTAGGACAGCCAGGGCTACACAGAGAAACCTAGTCTCAAAAGACAAAAAAACAAACAAGCAAAAAGTCTGTACCAACCATAATTCTAAGAAACCTGATCATTTATTTAAGCTTCTTGACAGTTTTATGTTAACAAATATATTTTTTTTCTGCAAGAAAGATTCTTGGTTGATGTTTTTGTTCTTTTTGCTCCTATTATTATCACTGGTATTATTTAGAGAAGTCTCATGCATCCTAGCCTAGGCTTAAACTCACCGTGTAGCCAAGGATGACCTTGAAGTTCTGGACTTCCTGCTTCCCCGCCTGAGTTCTGGGTCTCCAGGTGTGTACTGGGGTTGGACCTGGGTTTCATACACTTGGCAGTCTTTCTACCCACTGAGCTATATCCCCAGCAGCCCCCTCTGGTATTTTTAAATTAGTGTTCTGTAAGAAAGAGCTGATTCTTTCCTGTCTTTACTTAGCTTATATCAGCATGAACTCATGGTTTTTATTTTATGGGTTATGATCTCTGACATTCTATTAATAATTTTGATGTTGGAATTGTTCTACTCTTTGTTTTAGTTATAATTTAATCAAGGAAACTAACAAAACATTGTTATTCGATATATAAATATCACACTATAGCTCAACATTCAGTGTTGGTCTCAGTGTACTGCAGCCACATTCCTTAGTTATGTTACATAAGGAAGGAGAGAACACGATCAATCATATCTTTGTCTTTTCTCCTCTTCCTGAACTTGGTTATTCCTCCAAATTGTTCAAAAATCTCTAATGACAATAAAAGCCTGGCACTTACAAATATCAGTCCTTTCGTACAAATTTAAAAGTTGCTAAGTGATTGCAGACATGGAAACTTGGATGAAGTTCTTATTCCCAGTGGTGGCTTTCACTGGATGCTCAGGATGGAGTGTTCGCTGACCCCGTGAAGGCAGCTATTGTGCTGGGTTAATACCGTGTTTCCGTTCATAGTGTATCACTCAGTGTGCTGATCTAAAACAAACCATCCGGTTTATCCAGCTAGTCCAAGATACATCCACTTAGCAGCAAAGAAAAAGATGTATTTCCTTGCACTTAAATGGCTAGAACTTCTTTGTTTAATGGAGAACATTTTGTTATCACACAGAAACCCTATCTCAAAAAAGAAAAAAAATTTATATATATATTTAAGTGAATTAAATTAGGGGATGGGAATATAATGTAGCACATTTGGTAGAGTGATTGCTTCAAGCATGAAGGCCTGGGTTTGATCCCCAGCACTGTTGAGCACACGCCTGTAGTCCCAGTACTAGGGAGGTGAAGGTAGGAGGATCAGGAATCCAAAATCATCTTCTGACACACAGCAACTTCAAACCCTGCCTTGGCTTCGGAGATCCTTTACAAAAAGTTGGTGGTGGTTTTGTGTGTGTGTGTGTGTGTGTGTGTGTGTGTGTGTAGTCATTTTCCCAAATCCCAAAGTTTATAACTAGCAGAACTAGAATTCACATCTGTGTCTAAGTTCAAATCTTAGCTTCTGGGCTTGGGGGTGTATTTTAGTGGTAGAACAGTTGCCTAGCACATGCAAGGCGCTGGGTTACAGAATATTAAATTTCTGTTCACTACACTGCAACCCTTTGCAAGTTCAGTCTGTTATGCTGGGTCTGGTTCACACCTGTAGTGTCAGCACTTAGAAGTCTAAGGCCTGAGAGTTACTGAAAGGTCCAATTTGGGCTATAGTATGACACCTCATCTCTTAGGGAGGTGGGAGAGAAGGCAGGCTGTTGGTGGCACTCAAAAAGCTGAGGCAGGAGAAGGATCAATGCAAATTTGAGGCCAACCTAGCCTACAAAATAAGATCTTAAAAAGAAAGAAGGGGACTGCAGAGATGGCTCAGTGGTTAAGAACACTGGTTATTCTTTCAGAGGCCCTGGGTTCAATTCCTAAAATGGCTCACAACCATAAATAAATCCAGTGCCAGAGGACATGGTGCCCTCTTTTGGTCTCTGTAGACACCAGGCATGTAAATGTGGTACAGACATACATGTTGACAAACACACACATAAAATAGAAATTAAAGAATATACTGTTGTTGTTTTTTTCAAGACAGGGTTTCTCTGTGCCTGCTTCCCACGTGCTGGGATTAAAGGTGTATGCCACCAGAGCACAGCACATTGTATTTTTTTTAAAAGAAAATATTTAAGCTAGGTAGTGGTGGCACATGCCTTTAATCCCAGCAATCGGGAAGCAGAGGCAGGTGGATCTCTGAGTTCGAGGCCAGCCTGGTCTACAGAGTGAGTTTTAGGACAGCCAGGGCTATACAAAGAAACCTTGTCTTGGAAAAAACAAAACCAAGGCCATCTGTTGGCAGAGTGCGTGCTAACACACAGGGTTTACTGGGCTCTGTCCTCAGCACCACGCAAAGCCAGATGTGGTGGCAAAGCCAGATGTAGTGCTGTAGTTCCATCAGGAGAGACAGTATTATTCCAAGGCTTTTTGCATAATCCCTTTCTCATTGACTCTGCTTCACAGAAGAGGGGAAAAAAATCTGCAGGATAGCTGTGGTGATTCCTAACATATCTGTACTATCATCACTTGGGAATCAAAGCCAAGAAGATCTCAAAATTGAGGTCAGCCTGGGCTACACATTAAGACTTTGTAGAAAAATTTAAAAGAAAAGCCTTTAATCCCAGCACTCGGGAGGCAGAGCCAGGCGGATCTCTGTGAGTTCGAGGCCAGCCTGGACTACCAAGTGAGTCCCAGGAAAGGCGCAAAGCTACACAGAGAAACCCTGTCTCGAAAAACAAAAAAAAAAAAACAAAAAAAAAAAAAAATTTAAAAGAAAAAAATTTTAAAATATTTTACATGATCAGAACTTTTCACAAAGTGTAGTAGCACAGATCTATAATCCCCAATACTCAGAAGCCTGAGGCAGGAGGATGGCAAAATCAAGACAAGCATGGCTTGTATGCCACCCAAAAAAAGGTAAATGAAAAAGAAACAATACACAGCCGGGCATGGTGGTACACACCTTTAACCCCAGCACTCAGGAGGCAGAGGCAGGCAGATCTGTGAGTTCGAGGCCAGCCTGGTCTACAGAGTGAGTTCCAGGACAGCCTCCAAAGCTACACAGAGAAACCCTGTCTCAAGATGGGGGCTGGGGGACAGGGGTGGGACTGGGACATAAGGATGACGATGACACACAGGACATGACATTGTTTCATATGTAGCAGCACTTCTTTGTAGAGAAAGAAACAGGAAGAGCTTACTTAACTATAACTACCAAAAAAAAAAAAAAAAAGAAAGAAACCCAGGAAGGCCATAGAAAATAAGTATAAATTGATGTGGGTGTGGTGACCTATGCTTATGATCCCTGCACTTAACCTGCAGAGGCAGGAAGATCATTACAAGTTCAAGGGCAGCCTGAGACCTGTCAAAAAAAAAAAAAAGTAAAACTCAGGCTGGAGAGATGGCTCAGAGGTTAAGAGCACTGACTACTCTTACTGAGGTCCTAAGTTCAATTCCCAACAACCACACAGTGGCTCACAACCATCTGTAATGAGATATGGTGCATGCAGGCAGAACACTGTATACATAATAAATAAATCTTAAAAAAAAAAATCTCTACAGAAGAGGCCAGGAAGATCTGCCCTGCTGAGGAGGACAATAGATCTTGTGGTCCTCTTCTGCCTCTCCTCATCTCTTAAATAAAATGATTTGACCAGAGAGAGAGAGAGAGAGAGAGAGACAGAGACAGAGACAGAGAGAGAGAGAGAGAGACAGAGGCAGAGACAGAGACAGAAGGAGGATGGGTAATGAATGAGTATGAATCAGTATGAAAGGAAAGCCATTTCCTGTTTCTTTATTTATGTAAGGTTTTAAATAATCACACTTATTGTGTGGCAGATTCCAAAGGCAGATTTACTAGTGGCTGTCTTAGTACAAAAACACCTAAAAATGTAAACCCAGGATGTTTAAAATAAACTCATATATTTTGTTGCAGTTCGAGGGAATTATTACAAAGAAAAAATTTAAAAATCCATTTAAGAAGTATTTACTTTATGGACAACCCACAGCTACTTGACAATATTAGATTAGTAGTTAAAAGTGTTCTAGTAAGGAGAATTAATATCATAAACCAAAGCCCCAATTATTTCAGTATAGTTGGTATTTGTATGTTTATATATATGTAAAGTTGTGAAAGCTGATACTTCTGTGCTAATGTAACAGACATCCCTGTAGAATCCAACTGAGGAAAGAAAAAACTTTCTTTGGCTAATTTGCATAAACTCCTAAAAACAACAACAACAACAAAAATGCCTTGTTTTGTTTTTCCTTTCTTTGTCTCCTCTCCCCTCAAGGCAAGGTTTCTTTGTGTAACCTTGGGTGTCCCGGGACTCACTTGTGTAGACCAAGCTGGCCTCGAACTCAGAGATCTGCCTGCTTCTACTTCTGGAGTGCTAGGATTAAGGGCATGTGCCACCACTACCCCACCCTTGTTTTGTTTTCAGACAGTCTCACTATGTAGCTCTGGTTGGCCAGCAACTCACTATATAGACCAGGCTGGGTTGGAACTCACAGAAATCTACCTACCTCTGTCACCCTGGTGGCACTGGTGTTTGCTACCATGCCTGGCTAAAAAGGCCATGATTTTAAAATCCTGAACTTGTAATTACTGAACACAAATTTCCTCTCTAACTTATTTCTGGTTATTGGACTTAAATCCACCACAGCCCACAGATTTAAAAGAAAACCTAAATTCTTTGTCTTCCCAGTAGTAATTTGAGATCTTCAAAGAAAATAGTTGTGGGTTGAGGCTGGTGCACACCTTTAATCTCATCACTCAGGAGGCAGAGGCAGGTGGATCTCTGTGAGTTTGAGGCCAGACTGGTCTACAGAGTAAGTTCCAGGACAGCCAAGACTACACAGAGAAACCCTGTATAAGTCACAGGTCTGGAGAGATGCTCTTGCAGAGGACCTGAGTTTGATTGCATGTATCCGTATGGTGACTCACAATTGTCTATGATCTCAGTCCCAGGGGATTCAACAGGCATGCATGTGGTGCACATAGACACATGCAGGCAAATGGTTCTCATTGCCCTTGGGCAGAACAGCAGGCAGAGGACAGCTGGATCAGCAGCAGTGTCTACTCTATTTGTACCGTGAGTGTACCTTATTTATTTCCCTAATAAATTTTACCTGGCCCATTGTATCAGTATCTCACTTCAGAAAACTCTAACTACAGCTATCTAATCTTCAACCCCATCAAAGATCCAAGGAGGATATAATATTACCTGAGTAAACAGGAAGTGCAGAGCAAGCAACTTCCAAAGCTAAGAAACAACAGAGACATCTGGCTACTCAGACAGTCACCCCAGAGTTCCTCTGTGATGTTGGGGCATCCATCTTCAGCCTACAGGCCTAAAATAGCTGACAGACTTTTCTGTGAAACAGGAATTCTGAAGGACTGTCCTACCTCGTCTTGGCTAAGTTTGGCAGTTGCCTTCTTTTGTGTTCTGCTTGTCCAATTTGGACAGCATACTGTCAGCAGTTGAGGCAAGGGCAGGTTCTCTGTCTAGTGGCTAGCTTTGCCACAATTCTCCCACAACAGAGGACCAGGACACAGACACACTTAGAGGGAAGTCATGTGAAGAAAACCCATGTCACTCTTCCTACCCCTTTTCTTATCCTCTCCTGGACTGAACTCAGAGCCTTTGTGCACACACAGCTCAGCCTCCAATTTTTTTTTAATTGTTTCCAATCTTTAAGATAGCATGCAGTTACCATATGTACAGATTATCCAGCAGCCAATACCAATGAGTCAAGACTAAAAAATTTGCTTCTGGGGTCTTTATAACTAAAAACAGAAGTAGTCAAGTCTTATCTAAGATTAACATAATAATCTTACTAGTATGAGAGCAAGTGAGCACTTCATCTAATTCCTATTTTGGAATGTGAGAAAAAAAGCCAGATGTGATGACATTAATTTGTCACCCCAGCACTTTGGAGGTTAAGACAGAAGGATGACAATTTGGGTTAGCCTGGGTTGTTTAGGAGACTTTGTCTCAAAAATAAATAAATAAAATAAACAGCCAGCCAGGAATAGGGGCTCATGTCTATAATCTTATTACCCATGAAGTTGAAGCAAGAGGATTGCTGAATGTTTGATGGCAGGCAGCTTGGGCCAAAGTATGACACTGTGACCCAAAAAACCAACCAATTAATGAATTGGACAAAAAAAAAAAAAAAGGCATGGCGAGTGGGGGAAGAGGGGCAGTCTGACTATAAGCCAGGCATGGCGCACCTGTAACCCTAGTACTTGCAAGACTAAAGCATGTAGATCAAGAGTTCAAGGCCAGCCTGGGCTATGTAGTAAGTTTGAGGTCACCTTGAAATACACAGAAACAACCTGTCTTGAAAAAGAAAAAAGAAAAGCTGTGGAGATGACTCAGTGAGTAGAGACGCTTATGCAGTACAGCAAGAATGAAAACCTGAGCTCAAATTCTGGAATCCAAGAAAAGTTGGAAGAAAAATACAGATCCACAAAGTTGTTCTCTGACCTCCACATTCAAGCTCTGTGGTCTGAGCATCCACCACCACATCATATACATGCACTTGAGCGCGCGCGCGCACACACACACACACACACACACACACACACACACACACACACACACAAATAATAATAATAATAATGATTATAAAGAAAAAAAGGAGCCTGTGGGATAGCTTAGCAGATAAGGGTGCTTTGGTGCCAAGGGTGACAACCTGAGTTCAATGTCCAGAACACATGATGGAGAATCAACCAGCCAACTGTCCTCTGATCTCATACATACAGTGTGACACATGCATGTCTGCACTTACACACACGTACAACAAATAAATGAACATTTAAAGAAAGAATGAGGGCCGGGCGGTGGTGGTGTACGCCTTAAATCCCAGCACTCGGAAGGCAGAGCCAGGCGGATCTCTGTGAGTTCAAGGCCAGCCTGGTCTACAGAGGGAGCTCCAGGACAGGTACCAAAACTACACAGAGAAACCCTGTCTCGAAAAAAACAAACAAACAAACAAACAAAAAAAGAATGAGGATCAGACAGTGACCATGTATCTAGGATAATGATCTGACAGAGGCTATATTTTTGTTGAGATTTGCCGTGTGTGTGTAGTCCAGTCCTGCCTCAATCTCTCACATGCGACCACAGGCCTGTCAAAAAACTAACTCTTTAAACCATTACTATTAACAGAAACCCCTTTAGCCAGAGCCTTTCATCCTATGGAAATTCATCTTTTGAACATCAGACATAAGACTTAAAATCAGGCTCAATATTCATCAGGTTGTCCACTACAAAAGCAGCAAATGGCTTATGAGTCATGAAAAGCAGCACAGAGGAGCCTGAACAGTCACTGGCACCTTTTCCTTGTTACAGACATCACGGCAATGATGCAGGGAGAGAGGCTAGGAAAGCGGCATGGAAGCCCCTGCCAAGCTACTTCCTGAAAGGTTATCACTTTATGGAAGATTATGCATCCCACGTGTCCATCCTATCTCTTTGGGTTTCAGTTTTTTCTGTGTGTAAATTTATGATAGCTATCTTTTTTAAAAAGATTTATTTATTTATTATGTATTCAGAAGAGGGTACCTCATTACAGATGGTTGTGAGCCACCATGTGGGTGCTCGGAATTGAACTCAGGACATCTGGAAGAGCAGTCAGTGCTCTTAACCTCTGAGCTATCCCTCCAGCCCGATAGCTATCTTAAGATAGTCATTACAAGGATTAAATAAATTAATGTATGGAGAGGGATTTTAGAAGCCATACAGATGTGGGGTATATTACTTTTTCCCAATGCTGCAAACTTGACATTTTTACATACTTCAGAAGTTAGTACAGTGCATAGCAAAGAACATGTGTTCAGATAGTGTTTGTTGTATGAATTTGTGCACAAATAATTAGGAAATCCTCCCAAGAAGTATTGTCTGGGACTGAAGGGTTAAGAGACCCAGCATTCATAAGATGGCTCACAAATGCCTGTAACTCCAGCTCCAGAGGATTCAATATGCTCTTCTGGCTTCTGTGGGGAACTCCACTCACAGGCACCCCCCCCCCACACACATATACATAATTAAAAATAAATCTTTAACTGGCTGCTCTTCCATAGGACCAGGTTTTGAATCCCAGCACCCACATGGTAGCTCAAAACTTTCTTTAGCCCCAGTTCCAGGGAATCTAAGGCACTTTTCTAGCCTCAATGAGCACTTACATGCAGGCAAAACACCCAAACATATAAAATTAAAATAAAAAAAATCGTTCATGTCTATCTTGGTCATGGAAAGACAATATAACCTAAGCAGAAAAGACAGAAATGAACGAGCCTACCTAGACTTACAGCACAAAGGCAGAGAGAGAGAGACACACACACACAGGCAAGGAGGAAGTAATAAGTCACAGAAACCTAGCAGCTAGGAAAGTCTAGATGTAGGTTCAAAGTCAAAAGAAGTCATCTGCTGAGTTACCAGTTGAAGTGTTATCAGATATCATGAAAGATAGCCTTGCCTGTTATGGGTCTTTCATCTTTAAGGGGATACAAACATAAAAAATAATGAAGTATTCCCCCAAACATCAAAAAGCAGTTCCCTCAGAGCAAAGTTTCAAGTCACCTCTAACAACACAGACTTCATCAACTTTAGAAGATAACAGACAGCTGAGTTTGTTGGTGCATGCCTTTAATCTCAGCACTCAGGAGGCAGGGGCAAACCAGGAATACATAGCTGACCCTGTCTCAAAAGAAAACAAAACAAGCTCTTGCTAGTGTCCTCATTAGAGGGACATAGTCTTTAAACCCTGTGGGGCAACCCCTGATGCACCGCCATGATGCCCGGGGAAGACAAGTCAACCTGGAAGTCCAACTACTTCCTTATTTTGGATGATTACCCAAAGTGCTTCATTGTGGGAGCAGACAATGTGGGTTCCAAGCAGATGCAGCAGATCCGCATGTCCCTGCGAGGGAAAGCTGTGGTACTGATGGGCAAGAATACCATGATGCACAAGGCTATGGGGGGGGGGGGGGGGGGCATGGAAAACAATCCAGCTCTGGAGAAACTGTTGCCTCATATCCGGGGTAATGTGGCCTTTGTGTTCACCAAGGAGGACCTCACTGAGATTAGGGACATGCTGCTGGCCAATAAGGTGCCGGCTGCTGGCCGTGCTGGTGCCATCGGCCTGTGTGAGGTCACTGTGCCAGCCCAGAACACTGGTCTGGGGCCCAAGAAGACCTCCTTCTTCCAGGCTTTAACCATCACCAGGGAACATTCTGAGTGATGTGCAGCTGATAAAAACTGAAGACAAAGTAGGCGCCAGTGAAGCCATACTGCTGAACATGCTGAACATCTCCCCCTTCTCCTTTGGGCTGATCATCCAGCAGGTGTTTGACAATGGCAGCATTTACAACATCACAGAGCAGACTCTGCACTCCCGCTTCCTAGAGGGCGTCCGAAATGTTGCCAGTGTTTGTCTGCAGATTGGTTACCCAACTGTTGCCTCAGTGCCACACTCTATCATCAATGGGTACAAGCGGGTTCTGGCTTTGTCTGTGGAGACTGAGTACACCTTCCCACTTGCTGAAAAGGTCAAGGCCTTCTTGGCTGATCCATCTGCATTTGTGGCTGCTACCCCTGTGGCCTCCACCACTGATGCTCCTGCTGCCGCTGCAGCCCCAACCAGGGCTCAAGCCAAGGAAGAGTCGGAGGAATCAGGGGAAGATATGGGATTTGGTCTCTTTGACTAATCCCCTCAAAACAACCAACTCAGCCAGCTAAATTTGAGAAACATGGAAATAAAAGCTTACTTCTGTTAAAAAAAGAAAGAAAGAAAGAAAAAAAGAAAAAACAAACAAAAGAACATGTCCCCCTAAAACAAAACAAAACACAAAGAAGATAGTAGATAAAGGTAGACTTTTAAGAGTTTAGACAAAAGACAAGTCTCACTCATTCATACCACACCACACAGCCTTGCTGAAGGGATACAGGTGTAAGATATGCTAGAGACTGCTGCCCAGTAGCAAAATGAAGAGTTTTCCATACATTCTAAAAACACCTGCAGTTTAGCCCTATTCCATAAATTCAAGTAAAACCAACCAAACACAGAAGCCACACAGGAAATCTTTTTCAGTCCAGCATTATTTTTTGCTTGTTTTCTTTTTAATCTCAAGATTATGTTGAATAGTAACAGAAAATGATTAAACAGCTTTATAGGTTTAAACAGGGTTATAGGTTGGATGTCTTTTTTGGGACAGGGTCTCTCTTTAGCTCTAGCTGTCCTGGAATTTGCTTGTAAACCAGGATGGCCTTGAACTCACAGAGATATGCCTGCTTCTGCCTCCCAAGTGCTGGAATTAAGAGTGTACACCACTGACCAGCTATAACATTTCTTTATTTTATTGCATTTAAGTAATTTTATCCCTTTTTACTGTAAAAGGAACTAAGCATTCAGTAACCATAATACTGCAGCAGTAATAACATAATAGATGAAAGGGCTTTGTGAGCTTACCTAAACAATCATTGTGAACGAACAGTAGGAAAATACAGGATGTTCTCCTATAGCTACCCCCATGACCACGGAGCACGTACTGCAAATACATCCAGAAGGGTGGACTAATAATATACTCTCTTATCACCGTGCCTTGTCTTGTCACACATTGCTTATTTTTGTTCTTCAAAGTTGCATGTATTCCTACTTACGTGACTATCTTAGCATCAACAACATTTGGAATGAATACTTATCACAGCTAGCACAGTAAACAGTATGGGTTCGTGGGCCATGCTGTCTGCATTTCCTTCTTGGGTAGATTCAATGCCTTAAGTTACTTATGGGGGAAATAAGAATATCTCTTTCCAAGTCAGAAGAATCCGCTGTAAAGCAGTTGGAACATGGCCTAGCAAGCTCTCTATGCTTAGTGAATGTTAGCTATTTTAATCACCACCCATCTTCTGAAGAATAGTAGTATTCTGAAATATGATAGATATTTTGGGTCTAAGAAATAAAACTAAGTTTAAAGAGCATCTCTGGAGGTTTCATCTTAAATAAATTAGATCCTTTGTAGCAAAGCAACACAGAACTAGACTCCTAGTCAATGTAGTCCTCCTCATTCTGGTAAGCATATTCTTAACTTCCTTAGTGACTTCTTAGGTCTTTTCTCCTCTTTCATTTAGTGATTCTCCATCCAAAGATATGTGAAAAAAAAAAAAACAGAGCTTGTAAATCTATAAACTTGTCAAATAGTTTAATCTCTTTAAGAGTACTCCTATTTACACTGTCCCCTGGCTTTACTTTAGTTGTATAGAAAATAAACCAGGGCTGGAGAGATGGCTCAGTGGTTAAGAGCACTGGCTGGACTTCCAGAGAACTCAGGTTCAATTCCCAGCACTCACACAGCAGCTGACACCTGTCTGTATCCAGTTCCAGGAGATCTGGTGCCTCTTCTACTCCACAGGATCCTGCCCGTATATGGGGTACAGAAGCGCTCTCTCTCTCACACACACACACACACACACACACACACACACACACACACACACACACACACACACACAGGTTCATATAAAGATTTCTCTATGCAGCCTTTGCTGGCCTGGAACTCACTCTGTAGACCAGGCTGGTCTCGAACTCACAGAGATCTGCCTGCCTCTGCCTCCCAAGTGCTGGGATTGGCAATAAATACTTTAAAAATCTCTAGAATCTCTCTAGACTTGTCATAGTATTTCGATTTCCAAGAAAGATTTCGAATTGACCTCAGCTCTGCTAGGGAACAACATGCTCAATCTACTGTGTAACACTGTAGGGTCTTTTTACAGTCACTCCACAAAGATGAGATTTCCTCTCAGAACATGTCAAAACTGGGCATAGCTGAATCTGCTTCCCTATTCACTGGTTTACGTGACACAATAACTTAAACAATAGAAACAGAGACAGTTTAAGAAAGGTTTGGATGTAGCTCAGTAGTAAAGTGTTTATTTAACATGTAGAACTGCCCTAGGTTTATCCCCAGCAACACACACACACACACACACACACACACACACACACACACACACACACACACACACACACACACACACCCCAAAACACAAAATGCAATGCAGCCAACTCTATATATGGCATGTGCTTGTAACCTAAGGAAAGAGGATCTCCAGTTCAAGGCTGACCTGGGCTACACAGTTAAGACCTGTGTCAAACCAAAACCAAAACCAAACAACAACAAAAAAACAGGGCTGGTGAGGGGGCTGAGGAAAGAAGGACACCACCAAGCTTGGGGACCTAAATTCAATCTCTAGCACTCATATAGTACAAGCAGAGAACCAAGTTGTCCTCCGACATCCATATAATCACTCATGTACACTCAGGTAAATAAATATAGTAACAAAAGAATAAATAAACCCCAATCAGACAAAAGAAACAACCAAGAAACTAAGTAAGGCATGGTGGCACACACCTGTAACCCCAGTACTCATGATTCTGAGGCAGGAGGATTGCTACAAGTTTAAGGATAATAGGGATTAGGTAGTAAGATTCTGTATACTGCCCCAAAAAAGCTGGGGGTAGAAAAAAAACTACTGCCATCATAATAAAAATGCTAAAAAGTAATAAATAACCAGTCACCATGATTATATTATGGAAATCTATAAACTTGTCCAATAGTTTAATCTCTTTAAGAGTACTCCTATTTACACTCATTCATTTTTACTCACACTGTACTGCTGGTTTTATGTCAACTTAACACAAGCTAGAGTCGTCAGAGAGGAGGGAGCCTCACCTGAGAAAATGCCTTCATAACATCTGGCTGTAGCTGGGTGGTGGTGGCGCAGACCTTTAACCCCAGCACTTGAGAGGCAGAGGCAGGCGAATTCCTGAGAGTTCAAGGCCAGCCTGGTCTATGGAATGAGTTCTAGGACAGCCAGGGACACACAGGGAAACCCCGTCTTAACAACCACCAACCCCACCCCACCCGCCAAAAAATCTGGCTGTGGGCAAGGCTGAAGAGCGTTTTATCAATTAGTGATTTTTGGGGAGGGTCCAGCCTACTGTGAATGGTGCCATCCCTGGGCTGGTGGTCCTGTGTCCTTTAAGAAAGAAGGCTGAGCAGCAAGCCATGGGGAACAAGCCAGTAAGCAGCACTCCTCCATGGTCTCTGCATCAGCTCCTGCCTCCAAGTACCTCTTTTGATGATGAACTGTGATGTGGAAGTATAAGACAAAGAAACCCTTTTCTTACCAAATTGCTTTGGTCCTGGTGTTTCATCACAGCCATAGTAACCCTAACAAAGACATAGGGTTTTGTTTTTGTTTTTTGTTTGAGATAAGATTTCTAGCCCAGGCTGATCTTAAAGTCCCTATGTACACTTAAGTACCTAAGGGTGACCTTGAATTTCCACACATCTCCCCAGTGCTGGGATACCAGTTATGTGACACCACATCCACTTTATGAGGTACTAGGGATTGAATCCATGAGTTTAGTGTATGCTAGGGGCAAGCACACTATCAACTGAGCTACATTCCCAGCAGCAAGCACCTAACAAGCACTGAATGAAGGCTAGCCTGGAATACATGAAACCCTGTCTCCAGTGAGGCAGCTCAGTGGGGAGAAGTGCTTGCTGCCAAGCCTGATCACCTGAGTTTGGTCCCTAGAACCTTCATGTGTTTGGGAAAGAACCAGCTCCCTGAAGCTGTCTTCTAATTTCCACACGTACGTCATGGGTGCAAACACACTCACAAGCGCTAATATACAAATGTTATTGTAAAAGTTGAATCCCTCCCTGAAAGAAAGAAAAAAAAAAAAAAAAAGAGGCACTTAGTTCTCTAGCACCCTCTTTTAACGCAACTAACAAATACCTGAGCAAAGCATCACCCTAAGGATAGGAAGAAATTTGTATTTGTGTTTCTTATAGTCCACATGTTTACTACCTAGTAAAGTGGGCAAGGCTTTCTAAAATATTTTTTTCTTCAGGGCTGGAGAGATGGGCTCAGCTAATAGTACTGACTGCTCTTCTATAGGACCCAGGTTCAATTCCCAGCATTCACATGCTAGGCTCACAACCACCTGTAACTCACGCATGTGGTGCACAGACATATGCAGGCAAAACAACAATGTCCATAGAATAATTAAATTTTTTCTTTTCAAGATTTATTTTATGTGTATGAGTACTCTATCTGCACATATGACTTTATACTAGAAGAGGGCATCAGATCCTGCTATAGACGGCTGTGAGCCACTATGTGGTTGCTGGGAATTAAACTCAGGACCTCTGGAAGAGCAGCCAGTGCTCTTAACTGCTGAGCTATCTCTCCAGCCCCCTTTTCTTTCTTTTTTTTTTTTTTTTTTTTTTTGGTTTTTTCGAGACAGGGTTTCTCTGTGTAGCTTTGCGCCTTTCCTGGAACTCACTTTGGAGACCAGGCTGGCCTCGAACTCACAGAAATCCGCCTGGCTCTGCCTCCCAAGTGCTGGGATTAAAGGCGTGCGCCACCACCGCCCGGCTCCCCTTTTCTTTATTAAACATTTTTTCTTTCTTAATTTCATGCCTGTAGCAAATGAATTCTCTCTAGACCTCTTTTCTAGCAGAGTGAGTAAACTGTGGCACACTCGTATGGAATGCAACAATGAGAATGAGTCAGTCACAAGTTTAAAGGGCAACTGCCTGGCCATCAGGGACAAAGGAAAGGAGCCAAACAGAGCACATACCATAGCTTCCCACTTCATGTGAAGATCGAGAGACAGCAAAATTAGTCTATGGTACTGGAAGCAGGACAGTGGATACCCTGGATGGCAAGCAAAGAGTCTGAAAAGGGCCTGAGTTCTATCTTGTTTTTACATTAATCAATCCCTTTCTCCTCTTCTCAGAGTTGGGGATTGAACCAACGGCCTCACACATGTTGTTCCATTCCATCCCCTTTAAAATGTATCTAAGCTGATTATACCAAGGATACTAACTTGTGGGGCTGGAGAGATGGCTCAGAGGTTAAGAGCACCGACTGCTCTTCCAGAGGTCCTGAGTTCAATTCCCAGCACCCACGTGGTGGCTCACAACCATCTGTAATGAGATCTGGCACCCTCTTCTATATACATAATAAATAAGTAAATCTTAGAAGAAGAAAAAAAGGATACTAACTTGTGAAATTCACCCAGGGGTACATATGTAATTTGTATACTTTATGATGTATAACTTAAAAAACTAAACAGTACATTAAGATACAAACTAATGGCTGGGAATACAGCTCAGTTGGTAGAGTGTTTGCGCAGCATGCACAAGGGCCTAGTTTCCACCCTCAGTACTGCATAAAAACAACATGGCGGAAAGCGGTGGTGGCACACACTTTTAATCCCAGCACTCAGGAAACAGAAGCAGCTGATTCTCATAGTTCAAGGCCAGAGAGTGTATGTGTCCACACACACACACACACACACACACACACACACACACACACACACACACACACACACACACGAATTCTTAAAAATTTAAAGCATAGTTTTTTTTAAGTAAAATTTCATTTTACCTAGGGTTTTTTTGTTTTTGTTTTTGTTTTTTGAGACAGGGTTTCTCTGTGTAGCTTTACGCCTTTCCTGGAACTCGCTTTGTAGACCAGGCTGGCCTCAAACTCACAGAGATCCGCCTGCCTCTGCCTCCCAAGTGCTGGGATTAAAGGCGTGCGCCACCACCACCAGGCTATGGTTCTATGTTGACCAATTTTATGTGTATATTTCTTTTGTGGGTCTTGCTCAGGCTATCTTGGAATTCACGATTCAGACCGGCAGGGACTCAAACTTGATCTTGCTGCCTCAGCTTCCAAATGCTAGGATTACAGGCATGTACCACCTTATCTATCTCAATTTATTACTTATTTATTTAGAGGCAAGGTCTTTAACTTGTTGTGTAGTTGAAATGACCCCAAGTTTCAGATTACTGCCTCCACTTCCCAATTGATGAGATGATAGGAATGGCTAGCATGTCCAGTTTTTATTCTCATCATTTCTTCTTTTTTTAATAATTTAACATTATTTTATGTACATTGGTGTGAAATTCCCTGGAACTGGAGTTAGACAGTTGTGAGATGCCATGTGGGTGTTGGAAATTGAACCCACGTCCTCTGGAAGACTGGAAGAACAACAACCAGTGCTCTTAACCACTGCGCCATCTCTCCAGCCCCTTCTCATCACTTCTTAACAAGCACAGTTGAGAGCAGAGTGTTGTGATGCATACCTATAATTCCAGCACTCTGAAAACTAAATCAGGAAGACCACTTTGAGTTCAATGCCAGTCTGAGCTACAGAGGCCCAGTCTCAAAAAACAAAATAAAAAATAAAGCTTAGTTGTGTATAGAAAGATTTTACAGTGTATAATGCGTTGTGTTTAGCAACACATGGGTTGCATTAAAGCATTTTTAGGAAGCATCCTTAGAAAGTTTAGTTTTGTTTTAGTGAAAGTTACATTTCAGTTTTCCCTCCTTCAAATCCATCTCATGTTACCAGGTTTTAACATTCTTTGTTTGGGTCAGTAGGGGCCATACATGTGAAATGTGTTGTTTCAGATGCAGGGAAGAGGAAATGGAAAGACTATTATACAAATAAAAGGCTGTGCTATCATACCCCCCAAACAGGATGCCAGAAGGCACATCCAAGGAACAGTGGACATGACAGGGAAGGAAAAAAAGATGAAAGAGGAGATCCTTTCCCTGTGTTAGAAGGGGCCAGAAGACATATCTGTCAAGTAAGAATTCTAATAAAATGGTCTCTGGACAGGGTGGAACTGAGGGTGGACTGTGAAGAAAGTACTTGATTTTCTTCCCTTGAACTCTAGGGCATTCAACTGTTCCTGCACAGGAAGATTCCTTTTTACTAAAGTCTTCTTTGTATTCCTAGCCAACTGAAAACTAAATTCACTGAAACAAAGCAAGATCATCAGTATAGAATAACAAGACCTGGGTAGGCAGTACTGACACAGGAGTGGGGCCAGCCTGGGCCACAGGATACATGAGACCCTAATTTGAAATGATAAAAACAGTACGAATTTGATCTCCTGTGAAACAGTCACTCCCACCCCTGGAACAAACAAGCTCCACTTAAAATACATAGAAAGATACAGAATGCCAAGTAATAATGTGGTCAACTGAAGAGTGGAAAACACTTGTCTGGTCACAGAGCACTTAACTGAGATGGATTACTAGAGGGCCAATGTTGCAAAGCTCCATATGTTGGCAGGTCACTTGAAAAACCTTCTTCCAACCTGAGACTATTCTCACATGTTTCAGGTTTCCCCAAACTTATATCTGAAGATGTTTCTTTAGGCTGATGGTCTATGTTGAGATCCTTTGTTTCCACAAAATGAGATTACTGAGTTGGCATCACAAAGATGATTGGTGTCTTAGATTTTTGGCCCATTCTAGACAAGGCCTAAGGTGCCGATTTGTAGAGGGGACAGTGGCAAAATCTGATGTTGGAACTACTATCTCAGCATGTTTTTCTGTTTGACAAGAAATGAAGTTCCATATGGAAGACCTGATGATATACAACCCAGTGAATCTGGTGTCTGATGTGAGATTCCTGGTGAAACCCTGTAATGACAGCTGAGTAGCAATGCTTCCTCATATTTCAAAGCAAAGTCTCTTGCTTATAAGAATATTAAGAATATAATAATAAGAAAATCTCTGTGTTTGACGCCAGCCTGGTCTACACAGTGAGTTCCAGGACAGCCAAAAATACTTTGTGAGACTCCATTTTAAAAAAATAAACAAAAAAAAATTAGGGGGAGAATAAATAAATCACAGATTCTTACTGTAATTTTAAAAGGGGGTAGGAGTGACTAGTTACACAGTTTTAAATGAGAAAGGGCAAAAATCCAAGTTAATATTAATTCTAGACACCGCAACCGAGTATAACACTAATAACCTGTATTTGAGGACAGCCATCAAAACGTAATACCTTGCCTTTTAAGCTCAGAAAAGGCAGGTGTCCTACTTTGTTTTCTGTTGCCGTGACCAAAAGCAACTTGAGAGAGGAAAAGGCTTCCACTTCCACACAACAGTGAAGCACCAGGGAAGCCAGAGCAGGGACTCAAGGCAAGAACTTGAGACAGAAACCACAGCAAAACGCTGCTTTCAGGCTTGTTGAGCTACTTTTCTTATATAGCCCAGGCCTCCAGTCTAGAGATTTGCACTGCCACAGTGGGTTAGACCCTTCTCCAAAAATTAACAACGGAAAAAAAAATGTCCAGACATGACCAGAAGTCAATCTGATGGAGGAAATTTCTCATTTGAGGTTCCCTCTTTCCAGGCGACTCTAGTTTGTGTTAGGTTGATAAGAACTAACCAGCACAGTAGGAATGTGTGTTCAAAATACTACAGAGAGAGCAGAGTTACTCCTACTTGGATACAGCAGTTGGGAAGGATTAGATAAATAAATGAAGCTATAGAGAACGGGACTTAAGTATCAGGTACTCATCAGAGTTTGGAATCATGGTCCTATGTCATTACATTGACATGCTCCCAATCAGTTAACATCACTTTTTCCAGACAGGGACTGATATTCTAAACCTACTTTCCATCTGGGAAGGAGTGTAAAAGGGGAAGGAAATTTGCATTTTTAAATATCTACATGGCAGGAGTTTTGTGTACTCCGCTACCCTTCATGGTTAGTTGATGGTTCGTGGTTAGTGAACTGACACTTAAACTGTTGTTTTCCTCCCGACACACAGACTCGTGCATTACTTCCTCATAGCCTGTGTGTGTCACTCATCTTCCACCCAGAACCACAGGCGAAGAGAAGCCCAAGGGAAAATACTTTAGGAAAATTATCTGCAGAACCGATCAATTTTATATAAATGGTGAAGACTACGCATACATGTTTTAGTCAAATTCAAGATCATTACTTTCCAGGTAAGTCCAAAATATTGTTCGAACTTTTCCTTCTGACAACAAGAATAATTTCTCAGGTGTGTTTGGTTTTCTTCTGTTTGCTCAGGTTTTTGAAGTTCATTGTTTTTGGCAGTAAGTACAATGTGAATGGATTAACATTCCTTTCAGTTTGTACTCTACCTAAACCTGGATAATACCCAGTGATTTAGCAATACTTCTCTTCCCCACCCCAAGATGAAAAATGCATTCCTTTCATAAAGAATTGTAGTGTTTTTTTCTTTTTTCAAATTGCTGAAATTAATACTTTAGGGCAAGAAAGATGACTCAGGGGTTAATAGGGCTTGCTGCTCATGCAGAGGATCTGAGTCTGGTTCCCAGCAACCAGGCTGGGTAGCTCACAATACTATGACTCTAGCTCCAAGGGGATCTGGTACCTCAGGCCTTTGGGAAAAGAGAACTCACTCATGTACATACAACAGAACTCACATGCACACACAACATTAGAAACAATAACAAAACTCACAAATTAATACTTTACTAAAGACTATTTAAAGGATTTTCATGTATTACACTACAGGAGCTTGAACCTAGTGGCTGGCACATCCTAGATAAAACTTTTACCACTCAGCTATATTCCCAGTCCTCTTTACTCTGACCCAGGGTCTCATTAAGTTTCCCAGGCTTGCCTTGAACTTACTCTGTAGCCTAGGTGGGCCTTAAAACTGTGATCCTCAGCCTTTAATCCCAGCATCTGAGAGGCAGAGGCAGGCAGATCTCTGTGAGTTTGAGACCAGCCTGGTCTACAGAGAAAGTTCCAGAACAGCCAGGACAGTTACAGAGAAACCCTGTCTCCAAAAACAACAGAAACCCAACCCAACAAACTTGTGATCCTCCTTCTTCAGCATTCTGAGTCGCAGGAACTACAACTAAATGGTCCAGCTCCCTAACTCTCATTTTACCACTTAGTCCCTCGATGGAACCATATCCCCATCACAGTGAGTGATTCTGTCTTAAGATCTACACTTCAGAATTTTATAAATTAGAGGCCAGAGAGGTGGCTCAGATGTCAAGAGTACTAGTCACTCTTGCGGAGGACCTGAGGGTTGGGCTCACTTGTCAGGATTCACATGGCATCTTACAATCATCTATATAACTCTAGTTGGGGGAGGCTTCGGCTGGGATGTAAAATAAATAGATGAATAAAAAAGGGGGGCTGGAGAGATGGCTCAGTGGTTAAGAGCACTGGCTGCTCTTCCAAAGGACCTGGGATCAATTCCCAGCATCCAGATGACAGCTCACAACTGTCTGTAACTCCAGTGCCAGGGGATCTGACACCTTCACATCATTTCACATAAAACAAAGTTTAAATAAATTAAAAAAAAAAAAGTAGTCCAGTGGTGTTGGTACATACATTCAATCTCAGCATTCAGGAGGCAGAGGCAGGTGAATCTCTGAGTTCAAGACCAGCCTGGTTTACAGATGAGTTCTAGGACAGCCAGGGCTACATAAAGAAATCCTGTTTTGAAAAACAAAAAAGTCATACTTTCACCAGGCATGGCATTCTCGCCTTCAACTCCAACACTCAGGAGGCAGAAGTAGGTAGATCTCTGAAGTACCAGGCCAGCCAGGGTTAAAAACAAATGGGCTGGAGAGATTAATTCAGCAGTTAAGAACATTTACTGTTATTGTAGAGGATCAGGGTTCAGTTCTCAGAATCCACATGGTGGCTACAAGTCTGTAACTCCAGTTTCAGGGCATCAGATACCTTCTCCTGACCTCCTCGGGCATCAGGCGTGCACATGGTGCATACCTTATGTTTTCTAACATTAAAATAACATACTGACTTCCACATGTACAAACATATCGAACGTGCTCTCAAACACAGTGACAACACTTTTACTTTTTTTATGGCACTTGTTAGTTTCTCCATCCAAACTTGTCCACCACAGAGGCAGTCTATTACAATGGTTAGATCTGATGAAACTAGTCAATCTTGTCTCTATCACCTACAAGTGCTATAACCTTAGACAAGTAGTTTAAGATTCCAGTACTCAATTTCTTCATATTTAAAGTGCATGAAGCTAGGAATGGTGGGGCCATGTGCCTTTTAATCTTAACTATTTGGAATCTAAGGCAGGAGGGAGTTTGGGACCAGCCTGGGCAACACTGTGAGACTCCATTTCTTTCTTTTTTAAAAAAAAAAAAAAAAATTTATTTATTATATATACAGAGTTCTGCCTGCATGTATGCCTGCATGTCAGAAGGCACCAAATCTCATTACAGATGGTTGTGAGCCAACATGTAGTTGTTGGGAATTGAACTCGGGACCTCTGGAAAAGAAGTCAGTGCTCTTAACCTCTGAGCCATCTCTCCAGCCCGAGACTCCATTTCAAATAAATAGATAAATAGATAAATAAATAAATAAGTGATAAACAGGGCTAGGGCCCAGTGATGGTGGCTCACACCTTCAGTCTCAGCACTCAGAGGCAAGAAGATCTCTAAGTTCGAGGACAGGCAGAGTTGTTACACAGAGAAACTCTGTCTTGAAAAACCAAAAACCAAACAAACAAAAAACCCCAATAACAAACCAAAACCAAAAACAGGGCTGAAGATGTAGCTCAGCTGGTAGAGTGCTGGCCTAGCTCACAGGGAACTTTGGTTTGATCTCCAGCACACACCAACTGGATATGGTGGCTCATGCCATAATCCCAACACTTGGGAGGTAGAAGCAGGAGGATAAGAAGTTCAGGGTGGTAATCTTTGGATACAGGAGACCCTGTCTCAAATAATAATGATGATAATAATAATAACAATAATCATATAATTAAAGAGGATGATGTCCATTGCTCCATGAGTTGTTAAAGTTGTTACAATGCATACCAAAATTAGGACAGTAAGTTCTCAGCAAGTCATTTAATTCCTATTTGTATTACTATTATGTATATGTGTGTCTATGATATGTGTGCATGCGAATGTACATACCATGACCAAATGAGGAAGTCAGAGAACAACTTCCGGAAGTCAGTTCTCTCTTTCCACTGGGCTACAGGGATCAAAAAACAAGCTAACCAGGCTTGTGTGGCAAGTACCTTTACCTGCTGAGTCATCGCACTGCTCCTATTTTTAAAAACAAAAACAAAAGACCTATTTTATGTATATGAATGTTTTGCCTGCATTATATATATAACATGCATCTCCATCTTTTAGTTCTTAAAAATTTGCAACATAAAAGACAAAGAAAAATTTTTGAAGTAAAATTGAGATATGAAAGTACTTTTGGCTCCCTAGTCTCGCTGTCTGCACTGTTACAGTGGATATAAATTTGTGCAGCAGCCACCCCATTAATATTTCAGTCTGATGCATTTTCAAATCTCCATATATATGACCTAGGCCTAGACCATAGTCTCTATCATCTTGGTAACAGTGGCACAGTCCAAGAAGTGGGCAAAGCAGAGCTAATTAGGATCCTTTTCTGAAGCTGATAAGTAGGAAGTTACTTATCAGGTGGGAGTTACTAAATCAGGATGACATAGAGCTGAGTGTGGTGTCCCCTACCTATAATCTCAGCACTTAGGAGGCTGAGGCAGAGAATTCAAGGCCAACCTGGCCACCCAGTGAGAGATCTTGCTTAAAAAAAGTTAGGACTAGATATTCCTAGAATTGTTGGTGCCACTTTAGCTGACTATACAGAATTAGACTCTCCACAACAGGAACTGTTGTGGCCAAGGAAGATAATTTGAGCTTTTGGATTCTATTGCATCTAAACCTAGAACCACCCCCAAGTCTTAGGAGTTACCTGAGGTAACACACGCCACTTCAACTTAAATTGATGTTTTGGTTTTCTGTAACCAAATAAACTTTGCAAAAATAAACTCGTATATTCTATTTTGATAGACAAATATTTCTATCTAAATCTATTTCTGACTTAAAGGCCTAGCCTAAGAGTGCTCCCCCAACTCCACCAGATCTCCTATACCAAGGCTGGACTTGTTACATGATGACGATGAGCCTCCGCCTCCAAGCGCTAGGACTACAGGCACGCACCACCACACCAGGCTTATGGAATGCTAAGGACCAACTTAGGGTTTTGTCCATGCTAAGCAAGCACTACCAACTGAGCTAATCCCTGACCTGAATGCTACGTATTATGGTTGTCCTAGCTGGAAAAATAGATGATAAGGAATATTTGCAAAGTTTCTAGAAATTCATAGAAAATTATATTCAAAGTACCATTAAAATAAATGTTGAGAATCACTTAGAGTGGTAAGAGTTTTTTCAAAAGCTCCATTTGCTGTACTCCAGCAAATCTATTGTTTTCCTTTTACAGCCGTCTATAATATCATCTTCTGATGTTTCTAGAACAATGTAGTGGCTGTCTATTGTTTATAGCTGCAACCATCCACTTAACTTCGGTAACACCTTTACTATCCTTTGAGAAACTCTCACCTTCAGTTTATGTGTTTCCAGGTGCAAGGTAAGTACCTGACCTGTCAATCATCATAGAGAACACTCATTGGCCATAAAATGGACGGATGAGTAAGGTCTAGTTTTTGTTTTTTGTTTTTAATTGAAAAGGGATATTACAGCTGGGCAGTGGTGGGGCACACCTTTAATTACAAAACTATTTGTTTTCTCCAAGTACATAATGGATTTAGGTACCCCATGAGTTCAAAGCTAGCCAGGGCTACATGGGACCCTGTCTCAACAACAATAAAAAATTATCTGTTATTTTTCAAAATTTCTTGACTGTTATAATGTACTTTAATTACTAGATATTAAATGTTACCCTACAACATACAGTACAATATGTTAAATTAAAAAACTCAAATGGGCTGGGTGGTGGTGGTGCATGCCTTTAATCCCAGGACTCGGGAGGCAGAACCAGATGGATCTCTGTGAGTTCGAGGCCAGCCTGGTCTACAGAGCGAGATCCAGGACAGGCACCAAAACTACACAGAGAAACCCTGTCTCGAAAAACCAGAAAAACTCAAGTGGAGGGCTGGAGAGATGGCTTAGCTGTTTAAGAGCACTGGCTGCTCTTCCAGAGGGCTTGGGTTCAATTCCCAGCAACCACATGGCAGCTCACAGGTGTCTGTAACTCCTCTTCCAGAGGATCTGATTGCCCCACACAGACATACTTGCAGGCAAACACCAATGTATATAAAATAAAATAAATTATTTTTAAAAACTCAAATAGGAAAAAATAAAGAAAAAGAAAATCCAGAATCAGGCCACACACACAAAGGAAGAAGCACTTCAGCTGGGCACAGTGGGAAACAGCTTTAATCCCAGGGAGAGGTAGTCCAATTTCTAGAGTTTTAGGCCAGCTAGTCTACATAGAGACTTCTAAGCCAGCCAGAGTTACATAGTGAGACCCTGTTTCAAAATAACGATGATGATGAAATTAATAAAAGATGCAGGTCAAATCAACAACAAAAGGACAGGTCACTCCTAGGGCGGCAGACAGCACTAACTAAGCAGACCAGCCATTCAGCTGAATGCAGATAAGGCTTTGACTTGTCTTTCTCCATATGGTACTCAGGACAACCACCATCAATCACCAAACTTGGTGTACAAAAGGACTAACAAATAATGCTGAGACAATCAGTTGAAAAAAATGAAGTTTTTTTTTTTCAGTTTTTCACTCCACTGTACACTTTATGCCAAAATAAAATGTACATAAAAAGTTAAACAGAACAGATGGCTCCACTGGTAAAAGGTTCTCGCTTCACAAGGCTGGAGACCTGGTTCAGATCCTGAAGAACCCATGGAAAGATAGGAGAAAACTGACTTTACAAAGTTTTCCTCGCCGGGCGGTGGTGGCGCACGCCTTTAATCCCAGCACTCGGGAGGCAGAGGCAGGCGGATCTCTGTGAGTTCGAGGCCAGCCTGGTCTACAGCGCAAGATCCAGGAAAGGCGCAAAGCTACACAGAGAAACCCTGTCTTGAAAAACCAAAAAAAAAAAATAAATAAATAAAAAAAAAAAATAAAAAATGAAACCATATAGCTGGGTGTGATGGCACACGCCTTTAATCCCAGCACTCAGGAGGCAGAGACAGATCTCTGTGAGTTCAAGGCTAGCCTGGTCTACAGAGCGAGTTCCAGGATAACCTGAATTGTTACACAGAGAAACCCTGTCTCAAAAAGACAGGAAAAAAAAAAAAAAAGAAAAAAAATGATAAAAGGAAGAAACCAGGGCTGGCAAATGGCGCTAATCACCACCTGATAACCCCGAGTTTGATACACTGTGGGAGAAGAGAGTCGACTCCTGTAAGTTGTTTCTGAACTCTCCACATTACCTCCCATGGCACACGTGCACACACACATAATCAACCAATGAATAAGCAGATGTAAATGTGAAACAATTCTAGAGACTAGAGCATAGAGCCTCCTTAGCACAATTGGCAGTGTTTCGGTCCCATAAAGAGACTGAAACAAACAAAGTGCTGCAACCAGGCGTCCTCTTAAAAAGACAGAAAAGCCCCAGGAGAGGGAGGGGAGAGGACAGAAAAAATCCTCGCAAACAAACAAAGCCAGAAAAACACTGACATGGTAGCACACACTTGTAATCCCAGCACTCAGGCAGGGGAATGAGAGATCAAGGTCATCCTCAGCTACACTGTGAGTTTAAGCCAGCCTTGACTATAGGAGACCCTGCTTCGAAATCAAAAGGCCAGCTTGGCTGCACAAGCTAGAGGACAGCTTTGACCACACAGTGAGATGCTGTCAGCAACAAAGTCAATGTTCCCATCTCCTTAGCCTAGGAAGTTTACTCTTTTCTTTCCTTTTCAAAATTACTTTTATTCTGGGTAGTAGTGGTGGTGCATGATTTTAATCCCAGCACTCGGGAGGCAGAAGCAGGAGGATCTCTATGAGTAGGCCAGCCTGGTCTACAAATCAAGTTCTGGGAGAGCCAGAGCTGTTACACAGAGAAACTGTCTCGAAAACAAAACAAAAAACCCAAAATTATTTTATACTCTTTTATACGGATAGGTGTCTTGCCTGAGTGTATGTCTGTGCAGTACCTGCATGCCTAGTACTCTCTATAGACCAGAAGAGGGCATCGGATCCCCTGGATCCAGAATTACAGATTGTTGTAGACTGCCATGTGGGTCCTGGTAATGGAACCCTGGTCCTCTGGAAGAGCAGCCAGTGCTCTTAACTGCTGAGCCATCTCTCCCTTCGTTTTCTCTCCCCCCACCCCCCAGACAGGGTCTTACTGGCCTGGAACTCCCTGTGAGGATCGCCAGTGGTAAACGTGCAGCTCTTCTGCTCCGGCCTCTCCTCCACACTGTTTGTAAACCAAAGCTCTGCTTTCCAACGCCACACAGCAGACTACACTGTCGGACTGACTGCTTTCTAACAAAGTTGAACAGTGTGAGTGCCTCAGCCTCCACACTACTCCTTTCTTCACTGGAAACCATTCCTCTACTGCTCCTGGAGAGAAATCTCACAGCTAAAGTCATTATAGTCCACCCATCACGGTATCCTGTCACATCTTCCTCTGAAATAATGACTTCATTCTTCTGCCTCAACATCTCTGGGATCGAAGCACCAGTGCTTAGCCAACAGAAACTTGCTGCAGAAGTATTGTCCCAAGGGTCAAATCTGTGGGGACGTGGACAGTCAGGAAGAGGCAATCTGGGCAGGAGAAGGTCCCTAGTGTGTTCTGCTATGTCCTTTGGCAAAAGTCTCCCTCTGGTCTCACCCCATGGCTGTCACCTATGGTTTGAATTATTTTACTGCACAGCTGTAGTTTCTCCTAGCTCTGTTCTTTCCTCTTTGCACAGCATCCAGTGCATCCACCGCTGCCAACCTAAAATTCTGTTCCCATCATGTCACTTCCTGGCTCAGAAACAGATTGCACCACCCCTTCCCTCTCTGCAACCTCTCCCTCACTCTATTCGACTTTCCTTCTTTCACATAAATATGCCCCAACTCTTCCCTACTTAAACAATCTAAGTCAAACTGTGTATCTCACTCAATTCTGTCACCTTTGTTGCTTTCATTTTGCTGAGCTTTTAAAAATTATGGTCCACTCACTGCCCTCTGCTCCTGCACCCTGATGAAGCAGGTCTCAGGGACACCAACAATCTTATTCTCTATCAGACCTAGCGGACTTCTGATTTCACAATTTTCCCCTTTGTAAAGGTGCCTGCCTGTCAGAACTCGAGTGTGCCATTTTCTGTGACCGTTCTCCCCTCCTCCCCACCCAGTCTTCCTGTGCCATCTCTTCCTAGATTCTTCCTCTACCCTGGCTTTAAAAGCAGAGTTTCTATAGGATTCCACCCTGTTTCTACTTCTTTTTCATTTGCATTACTCTCGATGACTTCATCCACAATTACCACCTCTACCCTGATGTCTCATAAATATTCAATGCTGTTCTGACATTTCCCTTGAGTACAGACTTGTATGTACTTCCAACCAGCTTCTTCTGGCCTCTTCCACCGGGATATCACATAGGTAACTCAAGTACAACATGCCCTGAAATGAAGTTCTTTGTCATGACCTCAAACTAGTTCTTTCATGTTCATTTTATGGGGCCTTTTTTTAAAATGTGTTCTTTTGTTATTAAAGACAGGGTCTTAAAGTCTCAGTCTTCCTACCTTTGATTCCCAAGGATTACAGCATGTGAGGCATGCTCCCTGTTCTTGTTGGTTTCACAACTGTCCAGCTTCCCAAGCCAGAAATCTTTACATATCCCTGGCTGTCCTGGAACTTACTTTGCATACCAGACTGGCCTCCAACTCAGAGAGATCTACCTGCCTCTGCCTCTTGAGTGCTGGGATTAAAGGGAAGCACCATCACAGCTGGCCAGTTCAACTTTTTTCTTTTTCTTTTTTATTTTTTTTTATAATTTATTTTCTATGCATTGGTGTGAAGGTGTCAGATCCCCTGGAACTGGAGTTATAGACAGTTGTGAACTGCCATGTGCCATGAATTCATGCTGGGAATTGAACCTGGGTCCTCTGGAAGACCAGCCAGTGCTCTTAACCACTGAGCCATGTATGTCTTCAGCCCCTTTTTTCTTTTTAAACCTACAACATCACATATGCCACAAGTGATCTAGCAATGAACTATATCCCCAGGTCTCCCCTTTCTTTCCTTTCCTTTTGTTCTTTCTTTATAGTTTTTTGAGTAAGTGTTTTTCTGTGTAACGGCCTGCTCAAACTTGCTCTGTAGACCAGGCTGGCCTCAAACTCACAGAGATCCGTCTGCTTACCAGCTCTTCCTTTTCACTTTTATTTTCAAACAGGGCATTGTTAAGTGGCCAAGACTGACTGGACTCCCTCTGTAGCTCTAGCAGGCCTTGAACTTATGATCCTCCCTCCTCAGCCTCCCAGATAGCTGGAATTTCAGGACTGTGCCACCACCCTGACCAATATCAACACGGCAGTTTCACACTATCCCGCCCAGTCTCTAACTTAATGGTATTGGGAAAGCCTCAGGACTGGAGCTTCTCAGCTTCATCTACTATCCCCACCCTTCTACAACCCTCCTCCATTTAAAGAACATGTGCAGCTTGCCAGGCCTAAGCCTTTTTGACAGCACATCTCTAATCAGTAACAATTTGAGCAGACTCTCAACAGTGAGTATCTAATAATGCTATATATTATAAAAACATAAAAATACAGAACTAGGGCTAGAGAGATGGCTCCTAGTGCCCATGTGGTGGCTCACATGCACCTGTAACTAGAGTCCTGGGGAATTCTAACACCCTCTTCTAGCTTCTGTAGGCATCAGGCACATACGTGGTGTAGAGACATACATTCAAGCAAAGTGCCCATCACATAATAAAATACAGAAACCAAGAAGGAGTGAGATAAAGAGGAAGTGCAATACATGAAGTCATTCTAGCATCGGCAGCTAAGCGACTCAAAGCGCAGTATATATTAGGGTGAGGGTCATTATTGATGATGATGTGGGCATATCTGCATTTCAAAGGGTTTCCTTGACAATTTCACTTTCCAGATAGACTTCCTGACAGATCTAATGACCTCATCATGTGGCAAAGAACTCATATTAAGATGGAAATATTGGGGGCTGGAAAGATGGATCAGCAGTTAAGAGCACTGGCTGCTCATCAAGAGGACCCGAGTTCAATTCCCAGCACCCACATGGCAGCTCACAACTATCTGTAACTCAAGTTCCAGAGGATCCGGCACCCTCACACGGACATACATGTAGGCGAAACACCAATGAACATAAAATATAATTAAATAAATATTTTTAAAAAGCTTTAAGATAGAAACATTGGTCTGGACATAGTGGTGCACACCTTTAATCCTGGCACTCGGGAGGCAGAGGCAAGAGGATCTCTTCATTCACCAGCTTAGCCTACACAGGGAGTTACATTAGGAAGGTTGGGAACCACTATACAGAGAGACTCTGTATTCAGAGAGAGAGGGCGGGGGGAGAGAGAGAAGAGAGATAGATAGCTCAGCAGTTAAGAGCGCTAGCTATTCATGGTGAGGACCTGGGTTCAGTTCCCAGCACCCATATAGTGGCTCACAACTGTCTATAATTCTGTTCCAGAGGATCTAGAGGATCTGATGCCCTCTTTGGCTTCTGAGGGCACTGTACACACATGGTATATAGGCATACATGCAGGTAAAACATGAATACACAATAAATAAAAATAAAAATCTAAAAGCTGGGTGTGGAGACAGAGGCAGGAAGATCCAAGTTCCAGGACAGCCAGGGCTACACAGAGAAACTCTGTCTCAAAAAGCCAAAAATAAATAAAACAAACAAACAAAAATCTAAATTGTTTTTAATTTTAAAAACGAGGAGGGTGGGAGGGGATGTCAGCTCAGCCTTTTTGTTATAGTTTGCAGTGTTAACAATTATCTTCAAATCTATGGTTCCCTTCATACAAGCCTCTAAGCCAGTGGTTCTCAACCTTCCTAATGCTGTGGCCCTTTAAA